TTTTTGGTTTTTATCTTGGGTTTAATTTAAGAATAATGGGGTATCTCTATTACAACATTTTAAACCAATGGTCCCCAACCTTTTTTTTTTTTTTTTTTTTTTTGACCAGGGACCTCTCTCCAACATTAGTACCAAAAGGGTTACGAATCCGTTTTTGGTCAACTATAGATTTGGTTTGATTATTTGGGGTGCTGATTCAAAAAATTAGCTAGACCACATCAGCTTTAGTTTCTGATACAGAACACATGCCATCCAGTAGTCGCCATCTGCTTGCTCACAGAAAACCATTGCAAAGGGGCTTGCCCCAATTCAAAGAAAAGGGTTTCAGGAGAGAGAAGTTACGATTTATTATTTAATATTCTTAATGGTGCCACCAATTTGTGATGTGAGGTAATTTTGGGAGATTGGGCACACTGAACGCAGAATTAATGGAGATGAGGCAGTCTTAAAATCAAAGAGAACAAGTTTATTTTGAAACAAAGCGTATGGTTGCAGTTTGGTGATAAACTTGGAAGATACTTGGAGAACGTTACATATAACTTGGTTGCGATACAGTACAGACTTCTGATGTTACAACTTATAAATAACTTTTGCTGTGGTGAAGCACTTTATTAAACAATGGTTCCTGAGGTGAATAGTCTTCCTGTTTGATCCTTCCGTGATCAAACCTCAGATCTCTAGTTCACTTTTAACTAGTGATCTAAACAAGCTTCTATTAGTCTTCTCTAACTAATGAAACTAATAAGGTTTCCCCTTCAGCCTTCCTAAACTGAAGAAACCTCTGACTATTCACAAACACTGCTTCTCTACTTCCCACTCTCTCTCTCAACACTTCATTTCCCTGAGCCTAAAACCTGACTCTTCATTCCTCTGAGCCTAAACCCCCAACTGACTTTAACTGTCGCTTTTCAAAACTCTCCTCTCTAAGCTCCTCCCACTTCTCTACAGCATCGTTTCCATGGTAACACACTCCTCACAGCTAGGCCGCTCCAGCACTAGGGCAACCAGTGCAAACACCAATACAGTTATAATCTTATCATTTACAATCAACTTCTGTACACAGATTAATTCATTTTTAAGTGGATCGAGCTGGTTTCTTCCAAGTCTTGGTACTATAAGAGGGTTTTGCAAGACCAGTGGCTCTCGTTGCTGTGTGGTTTCGAGGCAATGGTGTAAAAATGGTGAGGCTGCAGACCATATTTTCGTTCTTGCAGACCACTGGTGGTCCACAGACCACAGGTTGGGAACCACTGTTTTAAATAGTAAAACAAGTAACAACAAACCATCAAGCAAAACAAACAATTGCTCTTAAAGACAACTGTAAAAGTAAACTGCTACCTAAACAGTGGTGGTCTTTGTGACATGGAATATTTGACTGCAGTCAAATAGAGAGTCAGTAGACAATATTTGACAGACTGATGTGCCAGCAGTAGTGATGAAAGGTGGTATATATTTTTAGTGATGAGACCTATAACTTCTACCTTAAGCTACATCTAATTTGAAATCTAGTTTATGGTAGTTGTCTACGTGTAACTAAAACTTCAATATATTTTTTAAAAAATAGATTGGCTCTTACCAAACTGGATATTTTAGATGTATTTCCAGAAATTAAAGTTGGTGTTGCTTACAAGCTTGAAGAGAAAATCATACCTCATTTTCCAGGTGAGTGTAAACGTGAGTGTACAGTTATGTTTGTGAATTTATAATTACTGAAGTAGTATGATTGCTGCTAGGAGTATCCCATTACTTTAATATGATGGCTTTTTTCTAAACAGAAATGGAAATCATGCAATTCTATGTGTGTTATCCAAAAGTCCCATCTTTTCTCATCAGTGGCTTTGATCCCTAGTGCTGCTATTGTGACTTGCAACTCTAGATGAGGGATGGTAAGTAAGGGCTGCCACCCTTACTTGAGCAGAAGTTACATGATCTTTTATGTTATTCATCATCTGGAATACACGGACTCAGTGCAAAGTTGTATGTCTATATACCACTGAGCTGAGTTTCATTCCAAGTAATTTGATATGGGATTGCCATTTTAATTATCTTGTTCTTGTCTTCCCCCAAAACTAAACAACAACAGGAATTAGCACAATGTCTTTTTCTTTATTTTCCTCACCTGTGAATGTAACACTAGATCGCCTTGTATTTAATTATGGTAAAGGTGTTACTGGGATGGATCTTACATGTAAGCTTTTGTTTCTTCATCCTACTTTTTGATTGATTTTATATTATTAAAATATAATAAACCATTTCCTAGTTGTTTCTATAAGTTAAGCTTTAAGAAAAATATTTCTATCAAATTATTGTGGCTTTTATTATATTGGTGACTTGAAGTTGCTGTGTTTTCTAAGATGGGTGATTGAGTAGTCTGTTATCACTGTCAACAGTAGAATTCCAGTTATGTATTTTGTTGCTATTTTTCCTTCATAGCAAACCAAGAAGTCTTAAATAAAGTGGCAGTTCAGTATGAAACATTCCCAGGGTGGAAAACAGACATATCAAATGCAAGGACGTTTGATGAATTGCCAGTAAATGCTCAAAACTATGTTCGATTTATAGAAATGGAGCTAGGTGTTCCAGGTAAGAAAAGTGGGTTTATTTGTGTCCTCGCTTATTGCAAGCAGAAGTCAAGTCAAATGAAATACCTTGTCGAGAGCGTTGCTGCTGATTGCATTTATAAATGCCTCTGTCATACTCTTAGGTTTGTAAACATACGATGAAATCATGATTCATAAAGTAGCCGTGAGGTGTAGAGGTTGTAAATGACATAGTTAGGTATGTCTAGATGCAGTCTACTTACCTATCATTCACCATGAAAAAAGAAACACCAAGACATCTTGATAACATTTCTGTCTATACATATGTTGGTTTATATTTTATATATTGCTTTCACTGATAAAAAGGACTACAGGCAATAGACTAGTGTACGGTGGGCTTTGAACCCGTTCAGTCATGGAAATCCACTGGCTGACCTTGGTTCAGTGCACACTCAGCCACAGTGGAAACCAAAGACAAAACTGCTTTGAATGAAATCTGCCAAGAATACCTTATGATAGGTTCACCTTAAGGTCACCATAAGTCAGAAACAACTTCAAGACATGCATCAGCAGCAGTATTAAGGAGCAGGGATTCACATGAAAGCTGATGAAAAGTGTCATGTCTTGCAGAAAAGCTTTGATTTTGGGAGATATCAGTGGCTTCTTTGGAAATTTATGACAATCATTTCTTCAAACTATTAGACAAGATTTTTGTTTGTTTTTGCAGTTAAATGGATTGGAGTGGGAAAATCCAGGGAGTCGATGATCCAGCTCTTCTAAAAATGCTGAATAAATGGAAGAAAAGAAAGCACACTCCTCAGACTGCTCGTTGCTATATCTATTATTCTTAGCTCAATAAGTAATGATTTTTGGAAAGTTGGACCTGGTATGGGAAAGAGCTAGAGATGGTCTGAAAAGCTATTCTTCCTGCTATAAAGACTTTCAGTATCATTTTCTCGTACAACCTCATGAATTCCAGGGCATTTATCACTATTTCCACCATTTGTCATGGTGCCACCAGATTTTTTTTTCACAATATGCTGTCTGAATACCTTCTCAAAATCTGAGATTGTATTACATAGCCATTTGTCTTTATTGTCTCTCTGTTTTGGGTGGTGTTATTTCCTGAAATTTTTACATGCTTAAAATAATTAATGCAGTTTTGCACAGAGTTTTACATCCTCATTTATACTCCTAAAGCTGTTGTTCCCTGTATGGCTGCTGATGTAGTGTGTAATTAAAGAGAGGGATGATTTTATAATGATGAAAAAAACATACACTTTTGTTACAGTTTTTATTAAAACTATGATGATGAGCTGGTAGTTTGGAAAGGTGTTTAATATGTATAGATTACAACAATTTAATTTATAAATGAAATACTAAAAAACATTGTATGTGTGTAATACTCACTATTGTAAGGAATGTATCAATACTTTAAAAAGGTTTTGCATCTTAATTTCCCACCAATCAGTCCATTATTTGTCATTTCATTAATCTATTCCCAAATGCATCTAATATGGAAAATATGGTGGATGAACAGATGTTGCATAGTTTTCAGAATGAACACATTGCTTTCTGTCAGTTGGATTAAGGGAACCCTAGATAAATGACCACTGAGAGTAATATTTTAATGGTAAATTGATTTTAAAATGTTTGATAACGCCCCAGGAGACTAAGTTATGCACTTCTGATGCTTATGGTTTGCAGGAGCCCTTTCTTTTGATTGAATTGCGTATCTGCTAACTTGACCAATTCATCTCACAGTTCTTGGTACTGCAGAGAGTAAGTAAATTCAATCAGTACTGCATTCTTTGGTTTTTAAAACAGTTAATGATCTGCTTTTACTTCATGAGCATTAATTTCTGAGTTAAATAATGTTTGTTTTTCATTTCTTTCTTATTCAGAAAGTCTTCTATACCATTGCTTATTTCAAAGATGTTTGTAAAAGAGTCATCCAGAACTGCACATAGCCCAATATATGTTAATTTACATTTTTTCTGAAGGCATTAAGACTGTAGATAGTGTTTTAATACCACATTGCACAAATTAATGTTCCAAACACATTAAAAAAACAGATTTTGAAATTTCCCAGCAGGAAGATTTAGAAAGGCAATAACTTTTCAACATTGTATAAATGCATCAAGTCATGCTGCTGAGTTCTTGAGTTCTGTGATATTGAACACTTAAGAAATTAAATTTGTAAATTTCCTTTGGTGGAAGATTGTGCATGACGAAAAAGGCTTAAATATTTTTCTGTGGAAATATCATCCTTACTTTCTGGGAAAGTTAGCAGTAAGTTGTGGACTAGTATCAATAGTGCACGAAGGAACAGATGTTTGGCTGGCCGTTCTGTGCTCCAGTCTTGCCTGCACTCAAATATGTACGATATCTGTGTAGTGATATTATATTATCCAGTGTTTCTTCTATATGAAATTTTATTTTTATTCGTTAAAAAAACGAGACGAGAGAATGAAAAAACATACAATAGGATCATTAATCAAGGAAGAAATAAATTTATTATGAGTAAGCTTGTGAGGTAATTAAAGTAAAACAATCTAAGGGATCATTATAATCACAAAAAGGTGTACATTGTATTTAAGTGGAAAGTAGCTTTTTCTTCCAAGCAAGATAAATGAAAAACATGGTGCTTCTTGAGTGTAATTTTACAAAACCCTTGTCTTCCAATGAATCCATCCTCCTGGGGTATTTTCAGTTATTTACTTTGCACAACTTTGTCACTATATACAGCTGCTTATCAACGGCAGTCCTGAGTTATAGACATCTGAATTACATATGATTTAGTTACAAATGGGAGTGAGACAACAGGAAGTGAGAGGAGACCCACCCCCTATCATGGGGGAAAGGAGTCTCCATTGAAGCTACCCTTGTTTCCACAACAACCCAAAACATTTCAAAATACACAGGAACAGAAAGTGAAGGGGAATCTTCTGAACAGGGGTACAGACAGCAGAATAAACTTTTCAGGGAAGTTAACTTTTCCCTGTACTATCTAAAACTTCAAAAAAATGGCTGCAGTTACACTTAAAAATGTACCTATTTTAACTTACATACAAAATGAATCTTAAGAACAAACCTACAGAACCTATTTAGTTCATAACTCGGGGACTGCCTGTATTTAGGAATCCCAGATTACCCAATCCATTGCTAGCCATGTTTTTTAAAATAGGAGTTTGTGGCATTACCTAGAGTTGTGCAACCAGCATTTATATGAGTGGATTGCTTGTTGGACTCTTTATTGTAGCTCCTTATGTCCCTTAAAGGGAACTAGTGGTGTGTAGTGGTTTGTGCATTGGATTTTGACTGTGGAGACTAGTGCTCAGATCCCTGGTCAGCCATGGAAACCCACAGGGTGTTACTGAGAAAGTAATACTCTATCAGTTCCCAGAAGAAGGCAATGGGAAACTTCTTCTGAATAAAAATTGTCAACAAGACCACATGATAAGGCAGCCATAAGGTTGGAAATGATTTGAAAGAACACAACAACAAAAACAATGTTCCCCCACAGGTCACTTCCTAGTGTCCCCAAGCTTAAGAATTTGTGGGCTCTAGTTTTTTCCAAGTTAGTGTAGATTTTCTAAAGCCTTACTGTAAACCAAAGATACATTAGAAAACAAATATTTAATTTCATCATTCAAGATAATAGAAGTGGTCTGTCCTCTTTTCTCTAATATATTTAGCTTGAGCAATACCTAATCAAAGCTCCTGAACATAAATCTGGTAATATCCTTGTTTTTCTTCTTATTTTAACCATTTTTTTTCAAATTAGTACACTGTAGTGAGCGGACATTTCTCAACCAGTTATCCTCTGTTGTACTGAGTTTTATTTTTCGGATTGCTGAAATGCAACTGTTAAAGTTGGAGTGGTTTTATTGTGTTTTTATTCTGAATAAGTTTTAAGGGGATCTTATTTATATTCTCCCTATTCAAACTTCTGCATGAAGTTTTGCCTCCCTGTTTACTGGATTAGTACTGATACAGTCTAGGTTCTTTCTTTCTTTCTTTCTTTCTTTCTTTCTTTCTTTCTTTCTTTCAATCAATCCTTACAGCTTGCTAAAGGTGTGTATGGAGGACAGGTGTTGCCATGTTGCATTCTAGGAAGAAAGGTCATGTCCATTTCATTTTGCTAATACGAAACACTGGTAAGGGGTGTTTTTGGTAATTATATTAATAGCAACAAGATGAGTAGGACACTCATTCCTTGGTTACATCAATCAGTTGACTGGTATTGATCTATGCTTCCTGTGTCCAGACTCTACTGCAGGCGTGGGCAAACTTTGGCCCTCCAGGTGTTTTGGACTTCAACTCCCACAACCAACTGTTTTGCAAATTGAGCTTGGGAATATAACAACAAACTTGTTTAATCTTATTGTACTGGTAGAGATTCTAAACCACTTGTTGATGCTTAGGGGTACATATACATGCATTTTTTCATAATAAAAGGAAACAAATGCAAAGTATTTACTTGTTCATGTTTGCACTACACTTGTATAATTAGATTAAAAATTGAGAGAGAATAATGGGGAGGGAAGTTATGATAATAGCAAAGATGTGTTGTTTGGTACATTGAAATATATTTCCCTGCAGTGAAATTGCAAACAAAAGCAATAATATCTATAATGCATGCATCAATTCCAGAATTACTGTAATGCTTCATGCAAAAGGAAAGGAAGCTGATGAGAAATCCCTCGAAATGAAGCCATTAAATTATAATTAAACACTCCTAGATTCTGTAATGTTGCCTGCTTTACATTTACATTAAAGGAGGCTTCTTATATGTAGTGACCAACTTCTGCACTCTAAAAATGTCACTCCAGCTTTACATTGAATAGGATTATTATTTTACTATTGCTTTGTGTTTCATTTTGATATTTGCCACTTTAAGGTTCTTCCATTTTTAGATCAAATTTTCAAAGAATTCGAAGCCACGTAGTTTGTGCTTAAGATTGCCATAGCATCCATATATTCTTAGCAACAGTTTTAGTACTTTTGATAGACACAATCTTGAACCAGATCTTCCATGTTGCTTTCTAGAAATGCTAGATGAAAGAATTTATCAAACTCCCATAAATGAAGGTTTACCTCCCCTCCTCTTGGCAGAAACACTTTTCCAAACCGACAGTGATTCAGCCTCAGTTCTTGGGCGATAGTCATCATCAGCACTACCTGTAATTCAAAAGTAAAAACATATTGACCATTGCTCCTTGAAAATGAATAGTTCACTATTTCATCTCCATCCCATATACATTTATATACAAACATGCTTCCCATAAACTTATTTTTATGTACTTTTCTTATGAATGCAGAGTAGCTTGTGCCCTTTGGTAACTGTTGTATTTCCCCCTCCATTTTAGTTTTCCTCTCACCCTAAATTGTTGTAATTTGATATTCCCTCTTGGCACAGCTTATTCCGAATTGATTAATACTTGAAAAGAGTGACAAAGTTTGCAATTTTAAAATATTTCTGATTTGAGCTTGGAACCAAATTATCACAGAAAAAAAGTTGGAGCAATTTATCACTTTAACATAACTGTGTAAATAATGGCCAGAGGACACAAGATTTTGGAAAAAAAACATTGTTTTTCAAATATAATCATCTATCTACACAGCAGTGTGATCAAGTGTTTTGCTTGCTTCCCAAGCGTCCACTTGAAAGGTGGTTGATTATCTGTCTTGTATATAAACCAATGCATAACGTATTTTTAGACATTTAGGAGGTATTTTCCTAATGGAACATATGAATTAGCCAGCTAAGCTTTTGCTTACCTAATTTGAAGACCGGTAATGTGAATGCTTCTCTATATGTGGTTTGTGTGTGCCAGTCATGGACTTTCTTCATTTTCCTTTGGTAGCGAATGTACTGCTTCAGAATGTGGTGGTCATATTCATGGTGAGGCTCAGTTTCATGTTTTACTGGAATTGGCTGCAGTTTTGTGAAAAGTCTGAAGCAAGGGTATAAAATGGTTAAGTAACCTCACATTGATATCCTGCTTGACACAACACAAGCCACTCCTAAGAACAGCAAAATATCTTAATGCTAATTCTAATAACCTTTTTTAATGGGCTATTCAGTTTTAATCCAGCTGTGGTCTGGTAAGCATTAGCAGCATGGTGGATTACCACGAGACTCTCATAATAAACTATTGTTACTAAATTGGCCTGATCATTCTTGAAAAGGCAAAAATGAGGTTGTGTACCTTGCAGTTAATTACTGTAAATGGCATTGATTTTTTGTCTCTGGAAGCTTACTGTAATATACAATAAATAGCTTTCAATACTAGCCAGGGTATTTTGTTTTATATTCAGGGTTCTCATTGGAAATAGTTTCTTGCATTAGGCATAACATGCCAGTGCACAATGGCCTAAATTTGTATGCTTATGTTAGCAATTGAGAACAAAGAGGGAAAGGGAAATACCAGGAAAGCATTTGGTGCAGGAGGAATCATGTGATTGAACCATCCGTTCACATGTCCTCTGTTGCACTGCTTCTTAAACTGAGGATACCAAACCCAAATGAAGTTCCCATAGCTTAGTGTTGGGGTCCCGAAAAATTTGATAACAGAAGTTTTTTTAATGTCACCAAGTGGCTGTTTTAGACACTAATCCAGGGGTCCTCAAACTTTTTAAACAGAGGGCCAGGTCACAGTCCCTCAAACCATTGGAGGGCCGGATTATAATTTGAAAAACAAAAACAAACAAAACATGAATGAATTCCTATGCACACTGCATGTATCTTATTTGTAGTACAAAAAACCCCACTTAAAAACAATACAATAATTAAAATGAAGGACAATTTTAACAAATATAAACTTACTAGTATTTCAATGGGAAGTGTTGACCTGCTTTTGGCTGAGATAGGATTGTTGTTATTGTATGTTTTCAAGTTGTTTCAGACTTAGGTTGACACTGAGCAAGGGCCGGATAAATCACCTTGGAGGGGCGTATCTGGCCCTCAGGTCTTAGTCTGAGGACCCCTGCACTAATATATTGTTCAATATTTACAGTGGCATCTGCAGAAAATGTTTCATCTATACTTCATAAAAAGGATACCAGCCTGTTTAGCTAGCCTTTGCAAATGCTGATTTATTATCACTATATCTTTGATATTTATACCTTTTTTATATATCCAAATATCTGGGGTCACGTAAAAAATTATTGGGTCAAAAGAGTTCCCAAGTGGAAAGGTTTAAGAAGCTCTGCTCTATTGTATGCCTCATTGCCTATTTTAAAGATTGGCTAATAGCAATACTAGCTCCACTTTTTGTAAATGTGTGAATCGAATTTTTTGTTCTTTGTGGTCTCTGTAAAATTGTACATAATGGGTTATCCACACATGTCTGGTGCAGTTTGGAACCTTCTACATCTCTAAATTGAAACATTGCGGTGGAGGCCCTGCCCACTCTCCCCATACTGTATAAATGCCCATGGGTAGAGGCATAGCCTTGGTTCCTTTTTTCCCCCGCCGCTAATATCAGTCTCTTGGAACCTCTCTCCTATCTCTTTTGTGCTCTTTAACAGTCTCTCTAACGGCTTTGACTTTGACTGTCTCTTTCACTCACATCTCCTGCTGTTCACCGCTTGACTTGGAGTGACAATGCTACCAAATTATCCCCAGGCTAGTTCTTACCTATTAAGGGTCCACCACATCCTTCTTTAAGAAATATGGGGGCTGTGGGAGCAAACTCCTGGCCTCTGATGGCCACAGGATGTGTCTGCTGTGCCTGGGTAAAAGCCATATTCCCCAGTCTTGCCAGATCTGTCAGGCCTTAACCCTCCAAAGTGCACCACAATAGGGAGTCCTGCTGTAAGGCCTTGCTGTGCATATGTGACCCATATGTGCAAATTTTACAGACCAGTACTTCAAGAAACACAGTTACAGGCGAGCAACTCGTTATTTCGCAATGACAAAAACTTGAGCTCTCTTTTGCTCTTTGTGCTATTTACTTAAATAATGCCACGTCAATTTCAAGTGATATATGAGAATTTTTGAGAAATTTCTTGTTTCTTTTTTATTGTCTTGGGTCTTGGGTGCATAAGTGAAATTGTCCTATGTCTTGTGAGTCAATGTTAAAGCCTGGGAATTGAAAGTACTAGTGCAAATATATCCTCTCTGCATACACAACAGAGAATGTAGTCATATCTATTTCTGAGATTAGTTTTTTACTTTACTTAATTTGTTAAAGAATGGTTTTTGCCAAGCCAGCATTTTCAATGTCTTGGAAAGAGCCCATAAAATTAATATATTTAAAGTTGGATCTCTTTTTACTATGACTAACCCTAGCTTCATCATGCTATACAACTGATGTGTGCTTGATCAGAAGACTTTATTTTCCTGATGTCTACCTCTAAGCAGCCCCAGCAAAATGTAGTTTTTCCTCTCTGCTGTATTTTAAACTGGTTTGTAACAAAGGTCTTCAAAAAGTTGCAGAAAGTTCTCTGTACTGTTATGGCAGTGTACAAAGTTATTTGCCTGAGGAATTGGGTGTGCTTTCTTCCTCTTTTGCCATTCTTCGTTTTTCTTAATTGAAAGCTTTACTCCCCTTCAGTTGTGTCCCTTGTGTTCACATACCAGAAAGTTAAACAACAATATTTGACAGATAGATAATTTTAAATAAATGTTTAAATCATGTCAATAAATAATTTATGCTATCAGGTATCTTTTAAAGGAGATATGTTCCATTTCTGATAAGTGAGATATGGGAGTGATGGGGAAGGTTATTGTGTATCTCCTGTCTGGCCCACTGATTTCCTACTTTGAAGCTGAAAAGAGCCATATGCAGAATGTCCTAGGAATGTTCGTGCCACTGATAATTTGTCATAATCAATTAGCACACCTAAGGGGTGATGGGTAGTACAAAATCTATTCTTACTTTGCCTGTCCTTCAGGAGGATATGCAACATAAAGCCGTGCCAGTTGACCTGGATAGTAACCACAAACATCCTTTCCTTGATGATGTAGAATCCTAGTAAGAAAACAAAATGCTCAAATTCTATATTTCAAATGTGATTTTAATTGTATGTGCTCATATTGTACATTTAACTAACAGCAAATACTCTACAGGCATCAGTCTTATGCTACCGCTAAAGTTCATAGTAACCATGTGTCATATTCGGAATGTTTTGTTCCACTTGTATTAAATGTCTTTCATTCTCAGCATTTTCCAAGCCTTAATTGGAAAGAGCAATGTCTGTTTTCCAGGGGTTATCCAATGAACTTCTAGCAGATATTGATAACTTTGTTTTTAATAGGCTTGTAACTTTCCAAACTGTTGTAAGCTACCTGCACATTGAGGAAGGCCAGGATGTACAGGAAAAATATTGTCAGAACACAGTGAAATAACTGGACAAAATCACAGTATATTCCAATGCAGACATATAAGACCAACACATAATAATTGCAATAACAACACAATTATAATGATTTTTTTATCCTCATACTTTACCCTGTTGGGATTTCAGGTGCTGAATCTATAAACCGCCGTAATTTTACTGCTGTAATATTTCCTGCCATTAAAATCTCTGGAAAAGATAGTAGGATATTATACTCCTTGTTAATTACTTCAGTACTTAATTATAATATAAACAGCGTTATAATGAGTATGTATTCATAAAGTCCATTTGAAGTTAATATTCAGAGACTTAATATCAAAATTTTAAAAGGGAATTAGTTCTTCTTCTCCCTCCCTCCTCCGAGTGTCCTTTCTAAAACGGTACTTATCTTTAAACTTTTGTTTTGTGTAGGGTGGCTTGGTTATGTTTTACACATTATTTCATAAACATGGAAATACATGAGTGAATATATCTGAACATAAAAAGTGAAATCAACACCATACATCAATCGGTAGTAAACATTAATTCATTACTTGGAAGCATAAAGCCCAGGATCCAATTGAGTACTGAGGCTCATGGAAGAAGCTGTGGCAGCGGATCTAGATAGAGGTAATTCCCTTGCCCCGACAACATTTTATTTCATTTAGATCAGTGGTTCCAACATTTTTTTGATCAGGAACCACTTGAACAGGGAACACTCTCCAACATTAGTACCCAAAGGATTACGAATAGGTTTTTGGTCAACTTTAGATTTGGTTTGGTATTTTGGAGTGCTGATTTAGGAAATTGCATTGGATTGAGCGGACAAAATCGTGCACACTGGTTTCCTCACTCATTGCCCTACTTTCTCTCTTGCTCTCATCCAACGGTAGCATGCACCCCTGGCTGAGAACCTTATTTTAGACCTTATTTTAGGTCTTGCAGTCCACCCATGGGCCCATGGGTTGGAAACCACTGATTTAGATGCTGTTTTTCTAATGGAGTGGGGCCCAAAGCAGCTTACAAAAACAATCAATTGAAACCTGAATAGTACATTTTAAAACACAAAATTACATTATAATATCAGAATAAACATAATGTAAAACCATTAAAAAGTATACAGGGCCAAATAAAGCAAGCATATTAATCAAAAGGCTGGCTGGAGGCAGTTATTCATAAAATCCCTGCTTGATCAGGAAAGACCTGCTGGCAAAAGGTAAACATGGAGCATATCAGCCTTGTTTCCTATGGTAGGGGCTTTTCAGAAGCTGGAAGCTCTCTAGGGGCCTCATCATAAACACACCATAATCCAGATCTTTCAGTTACATTATTGTTAACTCAGTCATCAAATCAAATTTGGCATTGGTTCAGATCATGGGACTCTCTGCCATAGATGTTGCCACTGTTGAACTTAGGGGCACACATTATTTTATTACATTCTCCAGAAAGACTTTTTTTCCCTTTTAAAGTTGCTTTTCTCCTAGAATAGACCTATTAAATCAATGAAACTTAATTATTACTTAATTATAAATTCCCATTGATTTACCAGGCTTACTCTAGGTAAAACCTGCAGTTGGCTTTAGGTCATGGAGAATTTTCAAAAGTAGTTTATGGTTTATCTTGTTCTGCTGTTCAAAGAGGAATATAGCCTTATCTGAAGCCATTAGTTTCTACATCTCCTTGGATCTCAGCCATTTTTTTTACAGGTATGAGAAACATATGAGAGATTTTTCCAGTGCCATTTTAAAAACTAAACTTGTCTAGACATTTGACTTTATTGTTTACAGGATATTTTTGAATGTGTGGTTTAGTATTTGTATATTTATATAATTTTGTACCTCCTTTTAAATTTTCAGTTACAACTTTTCATTTGAACAATGAGTCATGGTCTGGTGTGTGCAAATGTTGACCCATTAGCATTGGAAAATATTATGGATTATGTGGCCTGTTGACTGCAGCAGTGAATTATGTTTTGGCCACTCCATGGCAACTTCCCGGTAAGGAAGTGTTTAAACTGGGATGAGTCAGAGGCTGAAAATGCCAGGTCTGTGCCTCCTCTCATTAAGACTCTTCCTATGCTGTTTCTAAGTGACAGTGTATACAAACTTGGCTTTGCTTACAATATACAGGTATATCACCCAAAGTTCTCTCACCACTGTACAATAAAATAACGGCTGCTCACTACTCAAAGTCCTTTAAAAAACCCAATATCAGTTGAAAACTAGTATAGCACTCAACGAATCCCTTTAACAGCCTATAAACCTGGTAACTATGTTGGTTTAACTGTTGTATGGAATACAACCTATAAAATATTCCCAAGTCTTGTTATTTTAGTCAACTTTGGAACATGAAACAGGGTGGTGTTCAAATGTGTCAGCTCTGAAAAAACCACACAGAGCTGTTGAGATCTTATATTTACCAACATTGTCACATTCTTGACAACCAGCAATGCTCAACTGTTGCCTTCATAATTGTCAGCAATGCCATCAAAGCTTTTACACCATGTAGTAATGTTTCTGATTTAGCATTTGCTTTTCTAATGTAAATTAAGGACCCCTTCTTAGTTTCCACATTATACATGATGACATAAATAGGTACAAGCAATATCCCGCTGTACAAATTGGGGTTCAAACAGTTATAGATACATGGAGATTGCATGCCTTAGGCTCTGCAGATTGTATACAAAGGCTTAGCGCAGCTCTATAAAACCTTGAAAACATGATGATTTGTTTCAAGAGAAAACTTGAACTTAGAAGTCAATTCCCTTCCAGACCCTTCTCTTGGGCCACCCCATCACAAATTCAAATGCCTCTGTGTTCTTCACCAGTCCATCTCAACAGGCAACAGCGATACCTCTTGGTCATTTTGAGACCAAGAGGAAAAGAAACATTGGTGGTAATACCTGGTCCTGCAGTACTTGTGTGTTGTTGGTATTTTGTATTCTCATGAATTAGGGGGCTTCTCCATGTTTTGAGGAGTCAAAGCCATTCAGTCTCTGTTCAAAAGCCTCCAAGAAATGAGCTTCCACTACACTCCAAGTTCCACTGTTGAACAGCTCTCACAGTCAAGAAGTTCTTCCTAATGTTCAATTGCAATCTCTTTTCCTGTAATTGGAACCCATTGCTCTGAGTCCTCTGAACTCATGGTGTTGAGAAGATAGAAGAGGACAGTGTTCTTGCTGTTGACTTCCTACCTATTTTGTGATTTGGTTATACCTACTACTGACATGTGGCCTCAATTGGTTTCTGACACGTCCGTGTTGTATAGCAGCCAAAACCATTTGCACATCCTTCAGACCACAAAGTGGTTTTTTCCCCAGACAGACTTCCCTTGTTATGTCTGTTTCTCCTTTTGCAACCATTGAATTTCATATAATTTATACAGTTTTTCTAGCAGTAGAACAAAACAGGCTTCATAAAGTGCTCTTATTCCAAGAGACTGTGATAAAGTCTTACCTGATTTGCTGCACACAAATGAAAATGACTTTTACTCTTTATTATGGGTAAACAGAGACAATGTGATGGAACCAAAGACGGGAGTCTAAACAAAACTTTATCTAAGCTGTCCCCTCCCGCAGGAGAGTTTAAACCTACATTTTTGCCTACATCCATGAAATCAAGCAGTGGATACCATTGTGATGCATGGCATATTGTGATGGCAGTGTGTCATAAATGCTTTAATAATAAAATAAATTGACTGTTGTGGTTTATATCCATATTGTTAACAAATGGTATATTGACTAACAAAAGGGAAACAGCTGAGCAAATGATCTTTGGATAGTTTATCTCTCTTACTAATAAAACATACTGAAAATCTTGAGACATACTTCCAATTTCTTCTCTCTTAGACTATCTTCAAGGGTTCTGACTTGTACAACTGCACGAATAAGAGAAGAATAATGAAATACTGAAATAGTATATGGAAACTATCTTTGCAGCAGGACACAATGGGGGCATCAATGTTCACACTAATTTTTTAAAAAAATCTAGTTTTGCACTTCTGGAACAAACTCGGGTGTCTAAAATGATTTTGGTTTTAAACCCACACCTACTTTGACTCAGTATAAATTCAAACAAGCCCTGTTACATTGTTTGGGTCGGTACATATGTCTTGTCCTTAACATCCCAGTAATCTAAAGTACGTCATATTTCAGGACAAAGGACAATTGCATTTAGATAAAGCTACAGTAGGACCCCTAAACCCCGTGACCAGTGCCTGCAGTTCTTACTATCTGAAATGACAATGTAATTCCTAGGAATTTTCTAGGTCCTCTGGGGCAACTCTATGGTAACTTCCAGTAGGAGTTGTTCATTTCAACAGGGTTGTCCACAGGTGTTTTTTTTGTTTTTGTTTTTGTTTCCATGATAATTTTAGGAATGTATCCTGTATGGACACAGGGTCATACTGCAGTTACAAAGCTTCTATGAGAAATAATTCTTACGATGGCAGGTTCCATATCACATAGGTTTTGTAACAGGCTTTTAGGTACACAAGGGACGTGCATTAGTGTGTGAAGCTTATGTGTACAGCAATGTCCCCATTCGAAGATTTAGCCCTATGAACATTGAGATAACACCTAAACAGGTGTTTCTTTTTTGCATTATATACTTTGATCCAATTCATCTTTCCTACCCAAATCCCTTTGCTTTTATGTCAGAACCATTTGCACTTCAAAATTAGATTTAGATTCCATATTTGAATCTACTTTGCACTCTTTGGATAAGGCTAACCACAAAAGTTTGCCAGTTCAGATGTAACAGCAAGCTATAACCCAGAGAAGACATTTTACCTGTTTGAATGTATGGCAAAACTCTGTAGGGAGATGTAATTGCAGGGATTGAAAGCTAATATGGTGTACTCGTTTTTATTATTGCACTTACATTCCTGAAGACTAGGGTAAGAATCTGGACTTGGCTGTGAAAATCTATTAGATGACCTTGAGCAATTTAAACTAAGTCTGAGAAAGGCAATGGATGAAAATATTTTTTTCCGAGAAAACCGTAAGTTAAAGTCAACTTAAAAGGCACACAGAAACAAAAATAAGTTATGACCTTCGACATAACACCCAGCAGTACAGCTTTTCACATCTTCCTGTGTTGAGCGTGAAATTCTATCAGCCTATTGAACCACATTCAGTTGACAGACTTCTTATCACTGAATACATCGAGAAATCCACAAGCATTTCTTCACACTAAGGCCTGG